CCTCAATCTCTGGTGCTGCTGCTTCTCTGGCTAAGGCCCTGCATTCTGCTTGTGTGCTTCTCCCTTGATGGTCCTAGGGTCCTCTGTTTCTGGGCTGTAAGATTAACCACTCCCCTGTTTTTGTTACAAAACTTCTACCTTTACAATTGTGACAGTTGCAATTAGTCATGATAACAATTATTAACTATTGAATCATACGAATCTTTTCCCCATCTCTTTTCACCAGACCCATCTAGACAAGATGAAATCGATTCCTTCCCCCCATACTCTTAAACTAAACTCCCTCTTGAAACCTTGCAAGCCAGTCACTTCTTGCCTTTATTGCTCCCTCATTTTGGGTAGCCAATGTCTAAGTTTCTCGTCCCTATGTACTCTGTGTGCAGAGGGGATAGCATTGATACTTGATGTGAAGACTCCTTCCCTCTCTACTACACATGAGCACAGATCTCAAAATTTAAAGTGACAGTTTTGACGTAAAACCAAACAGCCACCACTTGTCTTCCCAGATCCTCTGTTCTTATGATTTTATTCTGTTCTTGACTCTTCCATTTGTCAATTGATTTCAGGGTGATGCTGCCACATACATCATTCTCTAGCTGTTGTCTGTTCTTTTTGGTTCTCAGTCCACAGAACTTCCTTTAGAATGTTTTTCTTAGTAGGGTTGGCTTTGGCAAAATCCCTTAGCTTCTGTTTATCCTGGAATGTTTTGATTACACCATCATATTTGATTGACACCTATGTTGGGTAGAAGATTCTTGGTTGGCAGATTTTTCTTTCAGAGTTTTATATATGTCTCTCCATTGCCTTCTTGCCTGCATGATTTCTGTTGAGAGATACGAGCTTAATCTGATTTGCTTGCCTTTGTATGTTGCACTTCTCTTTTCCCTAGCTGCTTTCAGGATTCTGTCCTTATCTTTGATTTTGGAAAGTTTGATTATTATATGTCTTGGTGATTGTCTTTTAGGATGTATTCTTCCTGGGGTTCATTGCGCTTCTTGAATGCTTATCTTTTCACTTTTCAGGATGTTAGGAAATTTTTCTTCCAGAAGTTCTTCAACTATCTCCTCTGTGGACTTGTGTGATTTTTCCTGTTCCAGAATGCTGATAATTCTTAAGTTATTTTTTTTCATATTGTCCAACATGAATCTTAGTCCTTCTCAGATATTTTTATCCTTTTTTGTGCTTGCTCTTCTATCTTAGTAGTGTTGAGAGAGTCATCTTCTAGCTCACTAGTTCTGGCTTCTATCTCTTCATTTTTACTCCTTTGCCCTTTCAGTGTATTGTCCATTTCTGATATTCTATTATTAATCGTATGAACCTCTTTCTGTAGGTTTTGAATTGTTTCCAATGCTGTATCTATCTTATTTGATTGTTCCTGTAATACTTTCCTGACCTCTTCCTTATTTTTCTCAACTCCATTGTAAAGTTTTTTGAAACATTTTATAATCATTTTCCTGAATTCCTTCTCAGGCATTTCCAAAGCCTGCCCATCTTCCAGTATGGAGTGTAGGTCTACTTCCAGCTTATTTGTTTCAGTCACTTTATGTCGTTTCTGGACTTGTGCTGATATGGTCATCTGCTTCTGTTTTTTGGGCATATTCAGGAGCTATCTGTGGCTTCTGAATACTTAAATGGGTGTGCATTTTGGTATTTATTTATGCTTGCTAATTGCCTCCAGGTAGATGTGATCAGGAGATGGGCTTCCCTTTTCATTTTTCTTCCTAAGACATTTTAAGATGCCACTGTTGGTCATTGTGATGTAATTCAGGATTTAATTTTTGCCCTATTTCTTTTTTAGTCTGACTGTCCTGCTCCACAATCCCCGTTCAGGTCTTTTTTTCTAGGTTTAAACAATTCAGGGCTGGCTGTGGCCGTTTGGTTTTAAATGGAAACTGTCTCTTTAAATTTTGAGGGGATCTGTGCACATACACAGTAGAACCCTCTGGGGTGCAGGTGGGGTGTCCACTTGCCCAGGCACCCCCTCTAGTCACCAGAATGGAGGTGCTCAGACAGCAAGAGACCAATGAACAGAACACACACACACACACACACACACACACACACACACACAAAGAACGTCCACATCTTTCTCTCTGTTGTTCTGTCAGGTGTCCGTGGCTGCTCTGAGCCTTCCCCACTTGGTCTCACCCAAGATGGCGGCTCCCGGTACAGCTGAGCTCTTGAATTAGAAAGCAATAGATTTCTTGTTTCTGCTACAAATTCCCCTGCCTGTAAGCCTTCCAACCTTCTAGATAATCCTTTATATGTGGTTCAGATTTCTGGCACATCCCCTGAGCCTGCTTGGTCCAGTATTCTCTGTTGTTGCTGACAGAGCTCTTCACTGCACTTCTACCAGATCTGCCATCTTGTTTGTTCTTCTTTTTATTTTTTTACTTAAAATAAAAAGTCTTTAAATTTTTTTATATGACACAAATAATGTGTTCATTAAAAAACATATATAAGCACAAAGCAGAAAAACAGAAAACTCACACCACATAGAAATAAGCAGTTAACTTTCTGATATATTTATGTATGCAATTTGGGATTTTTATCCTACATATGTGGACTGTTACAAAATTCTCTGTTTTGTAACTTGTTATGTTCTACTTTACAATATGGAATTGGAAACTTTCCAATTAAAAACAGACCTAGGAAATGTGTTAACATACAAAATCCAATGAAATGCTGGCAACAAGGAAAACTACCTAAACAAAATACCACCTGATTATTAAAAGTAAAATGAAGATCAAAGATACATTAGATCCAACATGACCATCAAAGAAATATTTAGTCAACCATTTGATATTGCCCCATAAACAATCGTAGATAGGGAGGGCATGTGTTTATGAAACAGATGATTTGAAAACAGATAAGAAACCATAAATTGCAGGCATCACCAGATGGGAAAAAAACATCAGGAACCTACAGAGGTATCATCATGCAAATATAAAAATATCCTTCAAGAAATGAACAGTGATATGTTCTTCTATCAGGAAGGAAGTGAACTTTGTCAACTTCCCTCTAACTCATTAGGGATCTGTTTTGAATAGCAATAGAGTAGGTGGGGGAAGGATGAAACTGGTCATTATTTAGACAAACACTGAAATCTGAAGAACATTTCATGAAGAACAACTTGGATAATCAAATAGTAATAAAGGGATTTTTTTTTCTCTGCTAAAAAAACAACAAACAACTTACCAGAACCCTAAGTATTATTCTATTTTATAGATAAGGGTACTGAGGCACAAGGAAATAAGTGATTATGAGTTTCCTTCCTTAACTTTTGTATTTAAGTGTAGTACATCTGTGCCCCTTCTGTGTACTTGCTTTGCACGCTGGGTCCATCTCATTCATACTCCTTAGCATACAGTTTTATACTGCCTTTAGACTCCCTTGTGTTCCTCACTAGACTGTGGACTCTTCTGTTTACCATCCTGAGCACAAGTGCCTGGTACAGAACTGAGGCTTTATGAGTAGATGAAGGAATGATTGAGGGACTGAATGAATGCACCATTCATGTCCCTGGGAAGTTATGTTTGCTGAGCCTCAGAAGAAAGGGATCAGAGCAGATTTCTGTTTCTGTATTTCATGTGATTAGTGGACTCAGTAACATACCTAATTCTCTTAATTCCTATTTTCCTTGTTCTTGTTGCTGTTATGTTGCTGGGGACATTATATATAGACCCCGGGTTGATCAGTGGCCCTGTGACATGGATGAAAATCCAACCCTGTGGCCCTCCTCAGGACTGCAAGCCATGGACCCTGAGGGCCAAGGAAGTGACCTCCTGATGTCCCGGGTCCATCGGTTTTTGCGAACTCACTGGTTGGCTACCTCTGTATAATTTTCTTTGGTTCTAATATTGTTCATTCTATGCTTTGAACTCTAGTAATTGTAGCTTCTGAGAAAACTTTAAATTTTGAGGCAATCTGTGCACATGATATTATAGAACCCTCCAAGATGGGGGTGGGGTGTGCACTCTCTCAGGTACTCCCTTCAGTCACCAGAATGGAGGCTTTCAGACAGTGAGAGACCAATGAACAGATAACTAACAATGGTTTCTTTTACAATGCCTCTCTTAATGCCTCCACTGTGTTGGCAGTGTGTGGAATCCTGGGAACAAATCTTTCTGAGGAACAAACGATAGCCACCTGGGAGGAATGTCAGAACTGCTCCTTATTTGATTATTCAGTTATGTTTGAAACCCCTTTTTAGAGCCAAGGCAGTAAAAGTTTCCTCAGATAATTCAGAAAGGTCAGGAACAGGTATATTGGGAATATGAGTAAAGGTTTTTAGAGAAAAACTACCCAAGGTTTGAAATAAAGTGGAATGGTAAATTCTGGGAATGTTGGATTAGAGGATAATAGTGGCAGCCCCATTAAACCGCCTCTGAATATAATCAGTTTAACCCAGATGCTCTCCTTCCTCCTGAAAGTATATAGAAATGTGATAATT